TGCAAGTGTTTTTTCAAGAAAATAGCCAACCTTATCAAAATGTAAATCATCTCTAGTTTAGCCCCTTTTAAGTAATCTCTCAACACAGTCAAAAAAACAGAAAATAAGGGCAATCATCATCATAAAATTGTTAAAGCATGATTGGCATAATTCTATGCTATTATTGATTTCAAATCTTAATTAAAATTCGTCACGCCTAAATCGAAAAATCATTTAAACAAATTGAAAAAAGTTTTATATATGATGTGAAAATTAAAAAAAAAAATTAATAATATATATACGAAAGCATAATTAACAATGAATGCCAAATTGTACTTGTTGTTTCTGCAATTATCATTTCAAAACCAGCCCAATTGATTCTCACAGCTGTTTTATTTCACGATTTGCAGGCATTGTCTCATTTGTGCAAGCAATAATTATAACCCAAAAAAAAATTAAATTATGAATAGAAATAAATAATTATATTGAAATTGAAATGGAAGTTAAATTCAAGGGTCAACCAAGCAAACATCATTGCCAATACCATTAACAAAAAAAGATAATTTTTTTTTAAATAGTGATAAATGATAATGATGAAATTGGTTAGAGGAAAAGTAAAGCTAGGTGCAATAATTAAATCTTAATTATAAATATTTATTTAATTAATTAAATAGGAAGATGGTTATTATAGGGTAGTTTATTTTGTTTAATCTTAGGTGAAGGTCCACTTTAGGAATTCATTACCACTAAGAATGCCTTCAATGGCCCATTTCTCCACCCTAAAAAGTGTAATTCTAAAAACCCCATTAATTCACAATAAGAAAATAAAAAAAAAATTGGAAAATCATTTATATAATAAATAATCTAGTACAACTAGTGGTTGTAGACTTTAATACTATACTTTTATTTATAAGTTGTTCCACGGTGTGAAATTTTCGGGTCAATTGATCTTCCTACTAATTTACGAACAGTGCCCCCATCTCCCGATCGGACATGTTTCTGATTGAGGAATGCAAATTACAGTGACTCAATGGTCCGTTAATGTATCGAACTTGGATTTGATGTCTATAAGAAACTAACCGTTATTAAAGTTGAAATTCCGACACTGCATCTGCCTGTAATCGATCCTAAAATCGCAAGTGTTTTTCATTTTTCTTATGTAATCAATAATGCCCAAAATCTTGGATGGGGGCCTATATATATTTAAATTCGTTTTGATGACTTCTTTCATGGATATATGTATGTATATATATATATCTTGATCACCCTATCTTAGAACAATGTCGAACACACGTGTGTTTGAATTGTTTGTGGCCAATACTTTGCCATTGAATTGATCACATCAACTTATAAACATGTGAAATGGTTAAGTTCAATAATACAATTCAGGGCTCACATGTCACAAATTATTTCAATCGGTTCAGTGAACTAGATTTTTATTTCATTTTTTAAAATTATTTAAATAAACTTATATATGTATACATCGAAAAGTTGAAAGATGAAAATAAGCAAAATCCCAAATGCACTATTATCAAATGTTGCAGATAATGGGTATCAAGGATGAGTTATTAAGTAACACTTTTGTTACATTTAATCAGATCGGAAATCGGAAATTGTTATTTTCATGATTTCTTAACTTAACAAATTGTGGTCCCTAAATTAATTAATTAAAATAAGTAGCATTTTTCTGCATGAATTGGGACCAAAATATATAGGACCTACTTAATAAAGACTACATGAAGTACAAAGAACTATGGTGTAGAGAGTTAAGTGTGAGTTACGGACATTTCCCACTCAAGTACAAATATGCACTAGTTGTCGGTCAGTCAAACAAAAAAAAAACGAAGTTAGTTGTTACACTTCATAATTTACATTGAGTAGATTTCAACTGTAAATATACAATACACTTTTCTGTCATTTAAGTTTCCTAATTTACACTTAAGAGTCCAAATTTTAAAACATTCATCCCAATTTATGCAATTTGTTAAAAGATGAGATACGTTTACTAAAAGTCGTCATGTATTTATAATTTAATTTATATCACTAGCACATTGTTGTTTATCGATTTTCGTATTGGGCCACAAGTCTTCACCCAAGTCATGTCATATTGGGTTGTAATAATATTTGTGGGCTTTTTTCAAATCAACAAACGACCGACCAAGTTTTGTAGTACTTATTTATTTATTTATTTCTATATTGCCCAAATAGCACTTCACCCCCTTCAAAAATTGAGTTTTTTCAATAAACCCCCTACAAATTAAAAAGAAGAAAACACCACCTTCAAAATATATAATTCATTGCACATTGCCCCAAAAGTAGAAATTTTGGCAAAATTTAATGTTTAAGAATGATAGTCTTGTCATTTAAGCATATAATCTTAGTTTGTTAGTATTACGTTATACTAAATACATTAATCCCACTGTATCGATTCTAGGGGTGTAAACGAGTTGAACTCGCTATAATTTCCAGGCTCAATCTCAAGCTCGTGTCCAATTTTGCAAGCTCGAGCTCCAGCTAACCGAACTTGCATTGTCTAGGCTCAAACCCAAACTCAAGTGGATTTATCGAGTTCAGCTGATTTTGTTATTTGTTAGTTTTTTTTTCCTAAATTTTATATTAATATTACTTTATTTCATCAATATGAATTATTTATATGACTATAAAAATAAAAATAAAGTATAACAATATATTTTTAAATTTTTATATGTATTTATGTAATATTATTTATTTTATTATTATTATTATTATTGTTACTAGTAATTGTACCCGTGCAATGCACGGGACAACAAATTGCATTGTTTTGATGTTGTAAGAATAAAAACAAACGTTTGATATATTGCATGATTCAAATTCTGTTATAATCATTTATTAATAATTCATCAGTAAAACATTACTAAGTATACTACACTAAAAAAAAAACAAATAACTTTAGTGTTGAATAATTTTCCAAATGAATTGAATTAGCTACTAACAGTAGATTGAAAAATTGAACCAGGAATAAAATCATCAACTATGTCTTTCATGTTGAGCTTAAAAGTAATTAGATTTAATAATTTAGTTAACCTAATCAAAACTAAACTATTGACAACATACCAACGTAAAAGGTTATCTATACATCTTGCATCGTAGTTAAGCCCTTCTCAACTGCCTCGCATTGCTCCTGTTTTGCCACTTGAATCAACAGTTGGAAAATTAAGAAACAATAAACTAAATATCGTATACAAACAAAAAGTCTTGAAGGCCGACTTCCAATAACTTGTGGCTCCGCTCATTTTTGCTTAGTTCTATCCAATCATCCCTTTCATAAATGTTATGGCAACTTACGACCACCCCTAAGGTATGACAAAATTACGAAAAACCCCTCTTGCTTGGGAATTACAGCCACCCCTCATTTTAAATATTTTTACATATAATTTATGTAATTCGGTTATTTACCGAATCAAATCGCATATTCAGTTAGGTAAACAATATGTAATGTTGGTGTACCGAAATTTTGGTTCGATTTTATCGATTTAACATTCCTAAACTTACCTCTGAAAGGGGTATTTTCGTAAGATAATACATAATTGATGGATAACTGTGATTTCCCAAACAAAATAGGAGATTTCGTAATTTAACCATAACTCATGAAAGTGACCGTAATTTGCCCTTAAATGTTATTTGAACGTTGACCATCTAGTGAACTCAATTTGACCATAATAAATTGAATTTGTTAAATTAAAAAAATCATTTTTTTGTCTTATCGAGCTCATGAGCCGACCCAACTGGTTCACAAGCCCTAGGAAAAAAAGCCCAAACTATTAGCCCTAAACCTAAGTCTTCATTATAAATACTTTATTCCCTTTACACCTGTACAGAAAACAACACCCAAATTCTTCTTTCATTTTTAATTAGGTTAAAGTTTGATTCTTCCGGCGGCCACTTCGATATCGTTTCATATCAAGGTAAATTGTAGATCCAATTTCCGCTCTCAACTCAAAACGAATTGCCTGAGTGAATTTGTTCTGTTCTTGTTTAATCGTCGATGGTTTAATTCATTTACTTAATCTGATCACTTTATTATACAGATCCATTTACTATTTAATTTCATATGAAATTTCGAGTAGATTATCATTAGAGAATATTATACTGCAGAGAAATGGAGTATTAATTTTTACTCCATTTATTATTTTTTACTCCAATTATTGATTTTTACTGATTGAATTCTCAATTTATGTTGATTATTTCAATAATTGTAGTTAAGGTTTGATTTTGCAGTATGATTTAGCAAACTTAGGGTTTTTAAAATTTTAACTAAAGGGGTTTTCCAGATTGAGATGTTTTTTCTAACTTAAGGAAGCTTAAGCTGGCTGTAAAATGAGTAATTAGCTTCTAATTATTTAATTAAGCATGATAATTGTATATGCTAACTCGTATTTCTATCCTCCTCAGGCATTTTTGCAGTCGAGAGCACCGTCCAAGTGTGTGCATGTTCTTTGTAGATATTAAAGACATTGACTCCTTGGCAAGGCGGGCCCCCACATATGACAGAAATTGTCCGATGTAATTGGCAAAGTCTTCGATTCGTTGCCTCTTGCGACATATTCTTTCGGCTGTTAGTGACAAGCACGCTGGTTCCCACGTGTCTTCGTCGGGACCATAGAGCCTTTCGAACATATTTTGGTAACTTAACGTTCAAAATATGTTTATGGTGTGGTGCTGAAGAAGACATTTGGGAATCTGTGCGCTTGCTGATAAAAGCTCAAGAGTGTGTCTCAATTGGCAACAAATACGAGATTTTGTTTGCGGGTCTGGTTTGCCAAGGCGTAAGTGACTTTAAAATCTAACATTATTATTGATCATCTAACTAATTCTGAAGTTTGATCGGCCCGTTTTTTAGTAGCATTTCCATCTGTTAATTGATTCAATACCTGTCGTATTTTTTTCGGATATCTTATTTAGTGTTGTATAAATAAGTATTAAGTATGCTAAAATGATATTGGTTATATTTCGATTACACTATATAAAGGTACAAGTATAGAATGAGTTTGTAAATTATTTTCTTTCTTGCCTTGTAAATTTGAGTTCAGATTTCCTATAGTTTGATTCATTTATAAATTATTAATTTGATCGGAAATTTTGAGTCGAATGTAGTTGTATTTGACGAAAGCCGTTAAGTTGAGCTGGCCAGTGAGACCGGTGAGATGTTGAGGAAGGGCTACTGCTACATCTATTGTCATGTAAGTTTTCATATATATATATATATATATATATATATATATATATATATATATATATATATATATATATATATATATATATATATATATATATATATATATGTATGTATGTATGTATGTAT